GTGTGTGTGTGTGTGTGTGTGTGTGTGTGTGTGTGTGTGTGTGTCTGGGCAGGGGGGCTGGAGCAGGTCTCTGGGCTTTATAAACATGGAGGAGGCACAGCAAAAGCATCATTGGCTTCCGGAAAAGCAGTCCTATCTTCCAGCAAACAGGAGGGACAGGTCTGATGCCACGGCTAGCCACACACACTCACGCGCCCGGCTCCCTGCTGCCCTACCAGATGGCAGGCTCTAGCTCCGAAGGTCAGCAAACCTCGCCGCCACCCCCCCCACCCCCCAATTAAGTGCTTGCACCACACTCCACAAGCAAACTTCCTGCCTGAAGGGACAGAACGCCCTCACTTGCTTGGGCCATGTTGCCCCCACTCTGCCGCTTGCTCACTGCTACTGCCACTTCTCTGGTGCAGCCCAGTGCCCGGGCATCCTGGGGTTCAAAGGACATGCTCTGCTCCAGGCTCGTCTCTGATGATGATGGTGAGATCTCTCCTTTGCTTCTGGGATGGCTCCTTTCACACCTAGCAGGACGGTAAGCTTGCTGATCCATTTGCCAGATTTCCACACACCGTGGTTGCATAGCCCCATCCAGGGATGTGGTGGGGGTTACAAACCCTCAGGCTAGCAGAGCCATGTCTGGTGAGTCCCTGCACTGGCCGGTGAAACGGGGAGGGTCAGATACCTACCTCAGAGAGCTTGGAGAAGCATCCCCCAGGCTGACAGTGGCCGGCGAACAGTAGGAAAGTGGACTCCGAGCAGCCTAGGGTCCCTTAATGCCCCAAAGCTTGGCCCACTCTGGATAGACTAAGAAAACGCGAAATCTACTTTGGCTACAGGATGCTCTTCCCAGTAAAAAAGGACTCTTTTAAAAAAGGCTTCTCCTGTGATATCTCATGGTTGGAAACATAACCCTTCAAGAACATCCAGCTTTCTAAGAGACCAGCAGCGAGGATTCTTCCCAGCATCCCTCTCCAGGTGCACCTTCAACCTGCTCAACCTGACACCAATGGGCCAAGGCAAGTGGAGTTTCTGCCTGGAGTGGCTGTTGCCTTCTGGTTGCCTACTCTATGAAAGAGTTCCTGACACCCAGCCTACTCTCCTGTCACAGGAGATCATGGATATTGGGCTCTTTCAAGAAGAAGTGCTAGACAAGCTCAAGTTCTCAGAGCTGCCAGGCCAGACATCCAGTCTCTTCACTGAAACTGAGGGGAGGCCCCTGTTTGTCTGGCAGGCTCCCTGGGCCTGAGTCTGCGAGCCCATCTCTCCAGCTACTGCAGGAGGCAGCCGCAGGCCACCTTTCCCCAGTTCATGGCCTCTCACTGGGGTGAATGCATAGGGGACTATCCCAGCCAGGCCGCATTGAGGGAACGGAGGCCCCGGCACCGTCATATATGCACACAGACCTGGGGACCCACTTCCATAGGCACAGCCTTGGAAACCCTATAGACTCTCCAGGACAGAGCAATTCTACTTCGCACCCATAGGGCCAACATGAGTCGGGATCAACTCAGCATCAAGGGGTTTGGCTTTTGTTCAGTTTGGGGGTGGAAATCAGGTGAGCCAAATGCAAAAGGTTCTAACCATCTTTTTCTTACTGTAATTCCAGCAAGTCCAAATCTTCAGTCTAACTGGATATCTGATTTAGGTTTCAGGGTTCTAACGTCACAAAACTCCTTTAAGGTATTGTCCACAGAGGGCACCTGCTGAAATAAGCACCCTGTGATGATTTAGGTTGCG